GTGTGTGTGTGTGTGTGTGTGTGTGTGTGTGTGTGTGTGTGTGTGTGTGTGTGTGTGTGTGTGTGTGTGTGTGTGTGTGTATGTGTATGTGTGTGGTCAGGAAACGAGGATGTGACAATGTGAAAGAAAATGTGGCATTCCTGGAAGGAAAAAAAAAAGAAGAAAAAAGGGTGAAACATTCACCACAATTCTTGATTTTAATACCGCTTGAAATGTTGTCGTTGTCTTGAAACCTGTCAGCAATGCACAACAGCGGTGTTGAGTCGACGGGAGGGAGAGGGGGGAGGGGGGCGGGGGGAGTGTGAAAGGAACTCATGAGTTTCACACCGAACGCGCATGCCCCATCTGCGATAGGTATTAAGTGACATCACTTTGTATTTCTCGGACGTAGTTGCAATGGATGGCGCGAGTCACGTGTGTGACTGTGGGCGGCCTTTCATGTCATTACGGACGATGAACTCATACCGAGCTCGGGCATGTCCATCCGTTGTGGAAGACAGGAGAACGACACAAGAGATAGTTGGGGGGGTTATCGGTGGACCGTCAAATAGTGCTCCCATTAATCTGGTCAGTGGGGAAAGCAAGGAGGTTGAGCCCCCTCCCGATGTAGAAGCAGACTGCGCATCCGAAGAACAGCAACAACAGCACACAGAGCCATTCGACAGCTCCCGCAAACTTGCGGCACTGATTTTCTCATGCAGGGACGGTGTGGGCATGTCCCAAACTGACGTTGAGTGACTGTTGTCACTCCTCAAGAATCCTAGATTCGACCCAAGAGAGATTGCATTTCGTAACAGTCGTGAGTGTCTGACATGGGCAAGCCGCCAGGCTGAGGCTGCAGGGTGGCAAGAGATCAATCTACGCGGTGATGATTGGCTTGAAGAAGCGCACGCCATTTTATGGTACCGCGACTGGCGCACAACGTTCGCTGCCCTTGTATGTGCTGCACTGCACAACGTTGAAACGGTTTCTTGCCTCGAAATAGAACCTCCCGGGGAGGGGATCAACATATGTGGCTCTGGCACAGGCCAGTTGAGCCACCATGTCCAAACTGTTATCAGAGCGGACAAGGGTGTGGACACAAATGGTAAAACACGTTATGTCATCCCTCTGTCTCTGTATTCAGACAAGACTCATGTAGACGGTCGTCAAAAGTAGTCAGCGTATCCTCTGATGATGTCAATAGCCGATCGTGCATCGGATGCCATACTCCTTGCATATCTTCCTGTGCTTCAACACCGGCCACGTGACAAGGGCTGGGGTCTGCACTCCACCGCGTTTAAAAAACAGAAAGTTGTGATATTGCATAAAGCGTTGTCAACAGTATTGTGGTCCGCAAAGGAGGCATCCCATGATGGCATAATAGTTACAACGGAGCGGTTCGGCGAGATAACAGTCCACCCTTTCGTCATGAACTATATACAGGACTATCCCGAAAGGTGTGTCCTTGCAACTGTGAAATTCGGTGTTTGTCCAACATGCATAGTGTCCAAAGACGATTTTGATGTCATCGCGGATTTCAGCAACTGCAGGAGGTCGCAGACGCTAGACACGCAACTTGTTGCGAACTGCTTCAACAATGGGGACAACGATATTCGCCGTGCCGCAGAGGCACGAATGTCAGAATTGAACATGCATAAGCATGTTCAAGAGAACGGCCTTTGGGGATTCTACAGGGGTCTGAATGGTGACGATCCTCAACTAGATTACCATCTCGCTTTGCAACCGGACCGTATGCACATCATTGAACACGGCATTTTCTTGCATATGATAGATGCATTCAAGGCAACAGCTTATAAGAAGTTGCCGGATATCGCGCAAACCGAGATATTGCACGAGATGGATGCGAAGTTGCAGAGCATCAGTGAGAGATGTGTGAGGACATACCCGCAACTCGTGTTGCCCGTGACCACAGGTTGTGATTTCTTTTCAAGAGAAGAACGTTTTGAAGCGAAGCAAAATCGGTCTGTTATGACAGTTTGTGTGTTTATTATTTGTGATATCATCCCACGTGCGACAGACAAATCCATTTGCGCTTGTTTCATCAAACTCATGGAAATGTACATACACGTGTTTCGTAAGTTGACCCACACTGCGACTTCTCTCGATGTATGTGACACATTGATAGGTGATTTCATAACGAGTATAAAAACGAAGATCGGAAAATATCAAACCTCGGATTGAAAAATTTCGAAGTTGCACGACCTTATGCATCTGAGAACATGCATAGAGCGATCCGGTGTCCCTGACACCTTCGCGGCTGATGTGTGGGAGCATCATCATCAGAGATTCTTCAAACAACCATATCTGGCATCGAACAAGCGCAAGGCCGCTTTCCAGATGGTGAATCATGTCCGACGCTCATTGGCTCTGCAGGATGGGATGGAGATTGTGAGAAAACGAAGAAAGAGGTCGGCAGAAAATTGGTCATCCGTGACAGAGTGCATGGGCACTAGAATTAATACCCTCGCTGCGCGCGACACAACAACTCTACAACTCCGGTGGTTCCAGATAGACAGTGTGCGTTTGCCGGAGGTGGAGGGTATAAGCAACGAGGCGTTGAGAATACTTAACGAGCTTCCCTGCAGAGAGGATTTTCGAGCTGCGCTCACGACGTTCATGACGGAGAACGGCTGTCAACCTCCATCTGATGGCCAAGTGATACACACTCGAACACACTTGACTATCGCCGCCACACACAACGGAACGCACAGGGGTGCAGGCGTTCCAACGGCAAGAGCTTCACCACAGTTCCACGGGAGAGCCGTGCACAGCGATGTTGCAGTGAGAGGCGGGAATGACAACATATGGTATGCATCGGTAGCCATGTTTTTCGTCATGAACACTTGCACAGGGGGTGTCGCGGARATGCAGAARTGTTGTTTTGTGCAATGGTRCAAARAGGTGGATAGCGAAAGGGAACACACAACAGGTTGTAAGAAGTTGCAATGGGAGAAGGTAAACGGTCGTCAGCACAGTAGCGTCATAACGATTGACACCATCATCGAGACC